AAACATTGTAATTGTACCCACACCCACCACTTCCTCATGAATTTCATTCTACAAGCGAACCACCCTCTGTCTAAAACAAAAATTGCGTCTCATGCCTTTTTTAAAATTTCTCTTCTCCCACCTTAAAAATATGCCCTCTGGTCTTGAAATTTTCCGTTCTAGGGAAAAGTCAACTACTATTAACTCTATCAATACTTCTCATTATTTTATAACCTTCTATCAAGTCACATGTCAACCTCCTACGCTCCAGTGAAAAGATTCCCAGCCTATCCAGCCTTTCTTTATAACTCAAACCTTCCGTTGCCAGCAACATCCAGCAAATCTCTTCTCAACCCTCTCCAGCTTAACAATATCCTTCCTAAAACTTGGAGACCAGAACTGGATACAGTATTCCAGAAGAGGCCTCACCAATGTCCTGTACAACCTCAACATGACTTCTCAACTCCTATACTCCAACCGGGGAGGTGATGGCCTAGTGGTATTATCATTGGACTGTTAATCCCACAGACCCAGATAATATTCTGGGGACCCAGGTTCAAATCCTGCCATGGCAGATGGTGGAATTTGAATTCAATAAATATCTGGAATTAAGAGTCTAATGATGACCGTGAATCCATTGCTGATTGTTGGAATAACCCATCTGGTTCACTAATGTCCTTTAGGGAAGTAAACTGCCATCCTTACCTCATCTGGCCTACATGTGACTCCAGACCTACAGCAAGTGGTTGACTCTTAACTGCCCTCTGGGCAATAAATACTGCCTAGCCAGTGGCACCCTCATCAAAGAACAAAGAAAATTACAGCACAGGAACAGGGTTTTCGGCTCTCCAAGCCTGCGCCGATCCAGATCCTCTATCTAAACCTGTCGCCTATTTTCCAAGGATCTGTATCCCTCTACTCCCTGCCCATTCATGTATCTGTCTAGATACATCTTAAATGACGCTATCATGCCCGCCTCTACACCTCCGCTGGCAACGCGTTCCAGGCACCCACCACCCTCTGCGTAAAGAACTTTCCACGCATACCTCCCTTAAACTTTTCCCCTCTTACCTTGAAATCGTGACTCCTAGTAATTGAGTTCCCCCACTCTGGGAAAAAGCTTCTTGCTATCCACCCTGTCTATACCTCTCATGATTTTGTAGACCTCAATCAGGTCCCCCCTCAACCTCCGTCTTTCTAATGTAAATAATCCTAATCTACTCAACCTCTCTTCATAGCTAGCACCCTCCATACCAGGCAACATCCTGAACCTCCTCTGCACCTTCTCCAAAGCATCCACATCCTTTTGGTAATGTAGCGACCAGAACTGTATGCAGTGTTCCAAATGTGGTCGAACCAAAGTCTTATGCAACTGTAACATGACCTACTAACTCTTGTACTCCATACCCCGTCCGATGAATGAAAGCATGCCGTATGCCTTCCTGACCACTCTATCGACCTGCGTTGCCACCTTCAGGGTACAGTGGACCTGAACACCCAGATCTCTCTGTGCATCAATTTTCCCCAGGGCTTTTCCATTTATAATTCCATTTATAATTCGCTCTTGAATTGGATCTTCCAAAATGCATCACTTCACATTTGCCTGGATTGAACTCCATCTCCCATTTCTCCTCCCAACTCTCCAATCTATCTATATTCTGCTGCATTCTCCGACTGTCCCCTTCACAATCTGCTAGTTCACCAATCTTAGTATCATCTGCAAACTTGCTAATCAGACCACCCTTACCTTCCTCCAGATCATTTATGTATATTCACATCCTGTGAATGAATTTAAAAAAATACTCAAAGGACTGAGCAATGAAGGCAAGTGTGCCAAATGCCTTTTTAACCATCATGTGACGCAAATTTCAAAGAATTATGTACCTGCACCCCTAGGTCCCCCATTCTACAACACAACCCAAAGTCCTACCATTAATTGTATAAGCACTACTCTTGTTTGTTGTATCAAAGTACAATACCTCACATTTATCCAGTTTGAACTCCATCTGCCACTTCTCAGCCCATTGACCCATTTGATTAAGATCCCTTTGTAATCTTAGAAAACTTTCTTCACTGTCTACTGTGCCACCAATTTTGGTGTCATCTACAAACTTACTAACCATGCTTTCTATATTCTCATCCAAATTACGTATAGAAATGACAAACAAAAGAGGACCCAGAACCGATGCCTATGGAACACCGCAGGCCTCAGGCCTACAGCCCTAAAAGCAACCCTTCACCATTACTCACTATCTCCTCCAAATGAGCCAATCATGTCTGCAGTTGGCAAGCTCACCCTGAATCCCATGTAACTTTACTAGTTAGTCTACCATGTAGAACCTTGTTGAAGGTTTTACTAAAATCCAAATAAACGTCTACTGCTTGGTCATCGTCAGTCTTTTGGGTAAGTTCCTCAAAAAACTCAGTCAAGTATGTGAGATGTGATTTTCCTCACACAAAACCATGCTCACTGTCCCTAATCAATTTTTGCCTCTCTAAATGTCCGTAAACCCTATCTTTTGTAATGACCTCCAACTAGTTACCCACATCTGAAGTCAGACTCACAGGTCTATAGTTCCCTGGTTTCTGCTTACAACCTTTCTTAAACAAAGATACAACATTAGCCACCCTCCAGTCATCATGGATCTCACCAGTAGTATTAGATGATGCACATGGTCTAGCAACTTCCTCCCTTACTTCCCACAACATTCTGGGATTCATTAGATCAGGTCCCGGAAATTTATCCACCTTTATATTCTCTAAACCCTTTCCCGAACTTCCTCTTTTGTAATGTCAACTGTTTTCACAGCCAACGCATTTTCTCCTACTTATGGTCCACATAATCAGCCTTTCTCCTTTGCTGGCATACCATTATCCACTGTTTATTTGCATAACTGCTGTTCTCTGTCTCCAGTTTTCAGCATAAATATCACCTGTGTTTAGCTACTATGAGTTCGGAAGAAGAGTCACTGGAACCGAAATGTTGATTCTGCTTTCTCTCCACAGATGCTGCCAGACTGCTGAGTTTCTCTAGCGTTTCATTTTTTCAAATTTCATTTCATTGAAGGCAGTTCAGAGAAGGTTCACAAGGTTGATCCCTGATATGGAGGGATCATCTTATGAGCAAAGGTTAAACAGATTGGAAATCTACTCACTGGAGTTTAAAAGAATGAGGTGATTTCGTTGAAGCATATAGGATTCTTAAAGGTCAATGCTAAGAGGATGCTGTCCCTCATGGGAGAGTCTAGGACTCGAAGGCATTGTCTCAGAATGCCTTTATTCTGTTTCAGACTGAGATGTAAAATAATTTCTTCTCTCAGAGGGTTGTGAGTCTTTGGAACTCCTTACCACAGAGAAATGTGGGGGCATAGTCCCTGTTTGTATTTAAGTCTTGGATAGATAGTTTCTGGATCAGTAGGGGAATCAAGGGTTATGGGGAAAATGCAGAAAAGTGGAAGTAAGGAGTGTTAGATTAGCCATGATCATATTTGCAGCCTACTCCTGTTCTTATTTCTTAATTTCTTATGGTAAAGCATGACCCTTGCTGGGAGGTGGGTGCAGTAGCAGAGATAGAGTGAGTGTAAAATATCAGAGAGAAGATGGTGGCACTTACACTGGTGGAGTGGAGGGGGTTATTGACCTTTTCCTATATTGCTGTGCATTCCACCAGGCAGCTAAGAATGCTGTAACCTCGGTGTCAACCTAGGACTAGGCTAGCATGGTTCATTGTTGTAGTCTCTGCTGCTGGTCCTTAGTGAAGAGGATGTCCTGCACCTGCACCATCCCAGCAGGACCTCCATGTTTGTGCCCACAAGGCACGGTGCTAAGTTTTCCCTAGTTAAGGCTTTTCCAGGCTGATGATGCTTGTCCAAGTACTTTGGGCTTTTAAAGATGATGTGGGCACAAAGGATGCTGATATTACAGTGATGTCCATGGAGTGGTGCATTATGTAGTAAATGGGGCTAGAATTGGATGTGAGAGATACCATAGGGATGGAGTAGTTAGTTAATGAGGTAAGTTGGTAAGATATGATGAGAAAACTTCCTGGGTCTTGTGGCAAGAATTCTTCCAAAAAGCCTGAAACAATACTTGGCCAAAAAGCCTAAGATTCAGTCCCAAATCTTTTCAGGAAGTGCGTTCCAGAGACACCACCTCATCTTTCTCTCATAAATGAGTGATCCTTAGCTTTCGAATCTCCTACAAGTGAAAACATTCTCTTGATATGCACACGGTACATGATAATGACCTGAAACTTGTTGCCTACATTGGTGCATGGGCGAGAAAGATAGATAGAGAGAGAGAGAGAGATGTCAGGAGGTTATTATCAGTGATTTCCAAGGGAAATTAGATGGGCACTAGATCGAAATAAATTCTCAGGGCAATCGTGATTGGTGGGGGTTGGGGATGGGAATAACTGGATTGTTCCACAGACAGCAGGCATGAACTTGAAGGGCTAAATAGACATTCCTGTGCTGTAAATCATTCTATAGCTCTTACCATTAAGGCATACGTAAAATGCTAAGGCGCTGAAAGATTAGGCAGTTTGTCTGAATATCTTTTGACTGTCTGTGTGGAGTTTGCACGTTCTCCCTCTGTCTGCGTGGGTTTCCTCCAGGTGTTCCGATTTCTTCCCACAGCCCAAAGATGTGCAAGCTAGGTGGATTGACCATGCTAAATTGCCCATAGTATTCAGGGATATGTAGATTAGGTGGGTTATAGAGGGATGGGTCTGGGTGGGATGCTTTGAGGGTCAGTGTGGACTTGTTGGACTGAAGGGCCTGTTTCCACACTGTAGGGATTCTATGATCTATGATGATCTTCCTAGTTATTACAATCTATTACATAAAGTATTCAATTAATGCTATATTACAACATTGTAGATTAGATAGCACCATACTGTTGTTGTTTCTCTTTGTGATAACACTGTCGATATGTGATACAGACTTCAGTGCATGAATATAAAGTCTGATATGTAACTTCGATGAAATACAGAGGCCATGAATTGCTGTGATCTGTCTCAGGTAGACCAGCTTACCAAAGATTGGACGGACAGATGGACAGACACAAAAGCAATCATGGAGGAATACTATGTGGATATAAACCGAGGAAAAGCAGGAGTGATTGTTGCCTCCCAGCTACCTCATTTAATAGCAGTGGATGAAGATATATTAAGTACAGGTGTTGCTCTCTACCATCTTAGGGTAAGATTTAAGATGTGTTTTAAGTTGATTTAATATTTATTTAATTCCTTTAAAATTACATGGATTCATCTATTAATATTTTCTGGCCCTCTCTTTCTCAAAGATCCCTGTACACGTTTTCTTGACTAGTAGGTTACCTGCTTCTATGCTTGTGTTACTACAGATCAGGCAATGGAAGTGTAAGTGGACACTTTCAGTTTTCATGGACTTATTTTGTGCTGGCTCGCCTCATAGCTTTCCTAGCTGTGAATAACTATAAAATTGGGGACTTGCCTTATCATTCTGTAGAGAAACATTTTGTCACATTCCCAATGAGACCTCAATAGCTAAATGGCTAAGGTTCACAGTGAGGAACACTAGCAAGATTGAGAAGAATAAAGTACAACACTGGTCAGTTGAGAATTAATAATTAGCTGACTGCAAGTGTCGTTTTTTTAAAAGCAACATATTGAACAGGAAGGTAAAGACTGAGGGCTATAGAGAGTGTTCCAGTCCAGCAAAGATTTTGCTCCATAGATAGACTACTTTCATGTAGAGGAAATGCTGTACCACTTTGAGTTACAAACTTGATAAATAACCCTTAATTATGGTGTATTGTCTCCTAGAGATGATGTAAAGCCAACACATTGTTACAGCACAGAGGGAGGCTATTCAGCCCATTCGATCTGCACCTGCTGTCTTCTGACAAAATTGACCCAGAGCCAAGCCCCCATCCTCTCCCTGTAAATACTTCCTTTGCAGATAATATTCCAATTCTGCCTTGAAGGCCTCAATTGAACCTGTCTCCACCACACTCTCAGGCAGTATTTTCCAGGTCCTAACCACTCTCTGTGTAAAAATGTTTCACCTCTTGTATCCATTGGTTCTTTTGCCAGTTAACTTCAGTCCTGCCTTCTTGTGCTTGATCTTTCTGCCACTAGGAGGTTTCTCCAATGGGGCATATTAGGACCTTGGTGAATGACAGAACGAATAGTCTGCTTCTTAACCAATAAGTTTAGATTGAGAAATCTAAAGCATAGTGAGCTGAATCTAAATCTCAGTATAGCGATTGTAACAAGGTCAGCATAGAATATGAGTTCCCTGACTGGGGCTGTTGGTCTGGTCTAATCAGGACACCCTGGCTGACAGATAAGAGCAGGAGTGTCAGAGATCCTGTTCACTCTGAGAGCTGGCTCTGAGGGAGCTGGATTAGTGTCAAGGACTCTCCGCATGTAAATAAAGCATGACTTGGTGATGGGATACCAACCTCTGTGAAGTTATGTCAAACAGAGTGATGATGGAAAAGGGAATGGGTGAAAAATACTGACAAATCAGTTATAGAAGGAGAAATGGTGATGAGCAAAGGATGTGGAAAAGAAAATAAAGTGTTGATGTTTAAAATCATGTTTGAACAATCTCCAACAACAATTCTCCATCTGAAGGAATGAGACTGCATTTAATTGTTCAATTCTGGCAAACATTTGATGAACAATTATTGTCGTAAATCATATCATATATACGGGCCGGTTCAGTGGGGCAGCATGGTGTCTGCATGGGTTTCCTCTGGGTGCTTCAGTCTCCTCCCACAATCCGAAGATGTGCAAGCTATGGGAAATCGGCCATGGGAAATGCAGGGTTACAGGGATAGGGTAATGGGGGTGGGGTTGGGTCTGGGTGGTATGCTCTTTGGACAATCAGTGTGGACTCGATGGGCCGAATGGCCTGCTTCCACATTGTAGGGATTCTATGATAAGGATTCTAAGATCATATACTGGGCTTCATTTTATTTATTTCATTGTGATAAATTTAATGTGCATAATGCATAAGATAGTTTGGAAAATTAAATACTGTACATGGTGTCATTTCTATGAATGTAACAAAATAATAACTTGTAGTCGTTGCCAATTCACAGGATAGCTCTTACTACAAATTGCTGGTGATTTCTATGTTAATAATTGTTTGTGAAATGACTGTAGATTTCTCCCAACTCTTAGATAAATCAGCAAAGTGTTTGATTTTAAGATTTTTAAAACTTCTAAATGTTAATCTGTTTGTATAAATCTATAATAGTGAGTAAGATGAGGGCATTTTTTTTCTTATGTTTATTCTGTGAATTGTCTCTTGATTGACTTTTAATATTATGATTGATATTAAGTTATCTCAGACCAGTGCTTCTGAACAGTAAGACTGTGCTAATGCTGCACTTCTGAACAAAGTGTGCTGTGTTTATTTTTTGATAATTTCTGGGTCTGTAGATTGTTAAATGGGCAGAAATGTCATTTATACTAGGATGATATGCTGCTTCTATCAGACATGGGAGATAAGGGATAATTTGAATGTTCCTGGAGACTATGTCTGCAGGTAGTGTGTTTGGTTGCAAATCGTATCGGACTGCATGGATTGATTGGAGCAGCAGTTAGAGGTAATGAGGAGTTTACAAGATTAAGGTGTTGTGATGAATGACAGTGACAGGAATATGAGAAGCTGCAGATACAATTAGGTACATATTTGACTGCTAAGAATGGTAGGAGAGGTAACCAGGTAGTGCAGGAATCTCCTGTGGCAACCCCCATCTCAAACAGATAAGCTGGGGGATGACCTCTCAGGGGAGTACTGACACACTGTCAGCCAGGTTTCTGGATCTGTGACTGGCTCTGCTGTAATGGGAGGTACATCAGGTTCTAAGCGATCGATTGTAATAGGAGCCTCTCTAGTCTGCAGCCATCAGCAAGACATTAGAATGGTGTGTTGCCTCCCTGGTGCCAGGGCCAAGAATGTCTCAGAGAGGGTGCAGAATATTCTGAAAGGGCAGAGTGACCAGCAGGAGGTCCTTGTGCTCGTTGGTACCAGCAACATAGGTAGGAAAGGAATGAGATTCTGCAGAGCGAATATAGGAAACTAGGCAGGAAGTTAAAAAGTACGTCCTCAAGAGACTAATATCTAGACTACTACTGGTGCCACATGCTATTGAGAGTAGGAACAGGAGGATAGAGCAGATGAACACATGGCTGAAGAGCTGGTGCAAGGAGAAAGGATTCACATTTTTGGACCATTGAGATCTCATCAGGGGTAGAAATTACCTGTATAGGAGGGACCTGATCCACCTGAATTGGAAGAGGACCGACATCCTTGCAGGATGATTTTGCTACTGCTACTCAGGAGGCTTTAAACTAGTAAGGGTTGGAGTGGGTGGAAAGTGACAATGAGAAAAAATTAGAATTAGAATGACAACTAGAATTAGGTTTTATTGTCACAAGAAAAGGCTGAGAATGGTACAGTAGATAAGGGGAGCAAATCAAATAGTCAAGACAGACGAGAGCTTTGCAGAGAATAAGGTAAGACTGATAAATTAAACTGCATTTACTTCATTGCAAGAGGCCTGACAGGTAAGGCACATGAACTTAGGGCATGGTTGGGAACATGGGACTGGGATATCATAGCTATTACAGAAATATGGCTCAGGGATGAACAGGACTGGCAGCTTAACGTTCGGGGTATGGATGCTATAGGCAAGATAAAAAGGGAGGCAAGAGAGGAGGGGGAGTGGTATTTTTGGTTAGGGATAACATTATGGTTCTTATTAGGGGGAATATTCCTAGGAGGTGTCCCATGAAGTTATATGGGTTGAACTGAAAAATAAGAAAGTTATGATCACCTAGTTAGGATTGTATTATAGGCCTCCCAATAGTCAGCAGAAAATTGAAAAGCAAATATGTAAGGAGGTCTCAACTATCTCAAATAACAGACTGAGACTGTGATAGTGTCAAGGGATTGGATGGGGAGGAATTTAAGTGTGTGCAAGAGAAGTTTCTTATTCAATATGTGGATGTACCTACGAGAGAAAAAATACTTGACCTTCTGTTGGGAAATAAGGCATGGCAAGTGATTGAGGTGTCAGTAGGGGAGCATTTTGGTACAAGAGATCATAATTCTATTAGTTTTAAAATAGTGATGGGAAAGAATAGACCTGATCTAAAAGCTAAGTTCTAAATTAGAGTAAGGCCAATTTTCACAGGAACTTTCAAAAGTTGATTGGTGGAAGCTATTCGCAGGAAAAGGGATGGTTGAGAAGTAGGAGGACTTTAAAAATGAGATAACAAGAGTTCAAAGACAGTATGTTCCAGTTAGTGTGAAGGGCAAGGCTGGTTGGTGTAGGGAATGCTGGATGACTGGAAAAATTGAGGCTCTGGTCAAGAAAAAGAACAAGGCATATGTCAGGTATAGACTTAAAAGATCAACGTGGTTATCTGTGTGGTACCACAGGAGATGAGTGAGATACTAAATTAATATTTTGTTAGTATTTAATGTGGAGAAAAACATAGATGCTAGGGAACTTGGGGAAATAAATAGTGATTTCTTGAAAACAGTTTATATTACATAAGAGGAGGTGCTGAAGGTTTTAAAAAGCACAAAGGTTGATAAGTCCCGGGACTTGATCAGGTGCAAGGTTCTGCATGGTAGACTGGTTAGTAAAGTAGATCATAATGAGATCCAGATGGAGCTACCCAATTGGATACAAAATTGGCTCAAGAGTACAAGACAGTGGGTGATGGTTAGAGTGTTGCTTTTTGAACTGGAGGCCTGTGACCAGCATTGTGCCACAAGAATCAGTGCTGGGACCACTGCTTTACGTCATTTGTATAAATGATTTGGGTATGAATATAGGATGTTATAATTAATGAGTTTACAGATGACTCTAAAATAGGTGGTGGAGTGGACAGTGAAGAAGATTATCTCAAGAGTACAACGAGACCTTGATCAGATGGGCCAGGAGTGGCAGCTAAAGTTTAATTTAGATAAATGTGAGGTGTTGCATTTTGGTAAGGCAAACCAGGGCAGAACTTACACAGTTAATGGTAGAGCCTTAGGGAGTGTTGCCAAACAGAGACCTGGCATGCAGGTGCATAGGTTCATGAAAATGGAGGTGCAGGTAGGGTAGTGAAGAAGGCATTTGGCATGCTTGTCTTCATTGGTCAGAACATAGGAGTTGGGATGCCATGTTGCGCCTGTACAGAACATTG